GGAGTCAGAAGACTTATTATCCTGAGTTCAAATCCAGCCAGCCCATTTCTAAAAGCGTGATTTTTCGTGAAGCAGATTGCTGAGCAGTAGCAGGCTTGAACGGGGAAAAGAACCCAAAAACAAATGCAAAGAGTTGGTAGAATGAAAAGGAGCTTAACGATGGAATTTCCTCCATGTATCAGAAATTTTCAGAGGAAGTTGATCTTGATTTGAGATCTAGCATTGGGAATAGTCAAGGGCAGAAGGAAACTCCAGTGGCCATGGGCCCCAGAATAGATCTTTGAGAAGCTCAGCGAAGCTCCTCTGCTGCTAAGTAGACACTCTTCTAAAACATAAGCAGTGTAATGGAAAAAGCCAAGCCTTGGAACATTAAAGGGAACGTCATCTCGAGAAATACTCACCACAAGGAAACTTTGGAAGAAAGTGAATGGAGCCCATCTAAACACATGGAATCATCATGAAGTCTGCTTAAAAGTGGTTCAGACTTCTGGCAGCAAGATCTCTTTTTCAAAGAAGGCGACCATGGTTCTAGTAAAGAAACAAATGATGGAAATTCAGATTGAAACTGTACAGTGAAACAGCAATTTAAAAGTCTTCAGGAAATGAGGTTGTGCAGGGGCATGTAACCATCCAACCCAAATTAGACTCCCTGTGCATTATACCTGCCAAACAGCCACCCACCCCTGTTTGAAGACCTCCAGCGAGGGGAGCCCCTGCCTTTCATGGCGGCTCACTCTCCTTTGGAAGCACTCATTTTTATAAATGAGCCTCATCATTATACATCAAGCCTCACTTTGCCTCTCTGCAGTTAACATCCATTGCTTCCAGGTCTGACTCTAGGACCAAGCAAAAGCAGACAGATTCCTCTTCCATTGATGACTTGTCCAACACTTGGAAACAGCTCTCCTGTCCATGGCTTCTCTTTGTGCCAGGTTACCCAACCCAGGTCATTCAGCTGATGGTCATAGGGTACAAACTTGATGCCGTTCATCACCTGGTTGCCCTCCCCTGAAAACTCTCCAGCCTTTTTAAATATGTGGAACAAAGGATGGAAGGAAACAAACATTTCTTGAGTATCATTTATGTAGCAGGCATAGTGGGGAGGGGAATTAGTGAGGGAATAAGCATTTATTTAGCGCCTACTATGTACCAGACACTAAGTGCTTTAATAAATATCTCTTTTGATCCTCTCAACAATCTGGGTAGTTAGATGCTAGTATTGTCCCCATTTTACTATTGAGGAAACTGAGGCAGACAGGTTAAGTGACTTGCCCAGGAACTGAGGCTATATTTGAGCTCAGTTCTTCCTGGCTTCAGGCCCAGCACTCTATTCACTATGCCACCTGGCTGCCTAGATGACCCAAAAGTAGGGAACTAGGGAAGAGTATAATAGAAATATTACCCTTCCTGTATATTCTTTCCCAGCTATTAACTTACTGAGTTTGCCATCCACCAGCACTCTCAGGTTTAGAATTGAGTTTATCTCCTCCCCACCCCAAACTGTTAGCTGATCCCTACTTCTTCCATCTTGTTCATGTGAAGTCAACTTTTTGGTCTTAAATGTAAGACTTTTCATTTATCCCTATTAAATATCATCTTGTCAGATTCAGCGCACAATTTTTTTGGATATTTGGATATTTTTGGTTATTTGACTTTATGTTATCTTTCCATCCCAGCTTTGTGCCATCTGAAAAATGTACTTTTATCCAGGTCATCGAGAAAAATGCTGAAGAGCGCAATGCCAGACAGAACCCATAGGGCACAGGGCCCTGCCTTTAGGGAGCATACTCTCTGCTGGGGAGAAAAGACATAAACACTTGAAAAGTCAAGTCAGAATTCAGTTACTATATGAGACAGTACAGGAGACCAGACATGGCATCCCAAAGCTGTATTTGCTGTAGGTGGAGCTGAGAAGCAGTCCAACCATTCTGGAAATCATTCACAAGGCCTGTCGCTTTGGAACTGACCAGTTACCTACTCTCTCCCTAGCCAATTAGAGCCCCCTGTTGCCTTCTGTTTCACAAGAATTGCATGAGATATTTCAGCAAATGCTTTGTTAGGGGGCAGCTAGGTGGCTCAGTGGATAGAGCACCGGCCCTGGACTCAGGAGGACGTGAGTTCAAATCCGGCCTCAGACACTTGACACTTACTAGCTGTGTGACCTTGGGCATGTCACTTAACCCCATTGCCTAGCCAAAAAAAAAAAAAAAAAGCTTTGTTAAAATCCAGGTACATTAGAATATATCTACAGTGTTTCTCTAATATGCTAGTGTAGTAACCTTGTCAAAAAGGAAATAAAATTAGTTTTCCTGATGAAGCTCTTTTGGCTCAATATTGTGAGATACTTACACACTCTGTAGACTGTCCCTTTAATAATATTTGCTCTAATTTTGTCTGGAATTGATGTCAAGCTTAGTGGACTGTAATTTGTTGGTTCCATTCTTTTCCTGTTATTATAAATGGAAGCTTTTGCCCATTTGCAGGTCTTTGGTATCCTTCTTGTTCTTGAGATGGATGATGAGAGGAGGCCAGTGTCACTGTATCACAGAGTAAGGGGGAGGACAGAGGCAATGTAAGATTTAAGAAGACTGCTTAATAAGGCCTTTGAGTGGGACACAGAGGATTTGATCTTTGATCCTAAAGATAATAGGGAGCCATTGGAATTTATGATTATGGAGGTGGCACAGTCAGACCAGTGCTTGAAGATCTCTGACAGCTGAACAGAGCCTGGCATGGAATAGGGAGACCAGCCAGTGGCCTATTGCAGTAGTCAAGGTATGAAGTGATGAGGGCCTGCGCCAGAGAGCAGTGTCAGAATAGAGAAGGAAACACATGAGAGGTGTTGCCAATGTAAAATCAACAGGCTCTGGCAACAGGTTATATATGTTGTGGGGGGGACAAGGGCAGGTGAGAGAAAGTGAGGAGTTGAGTTTGAGAACTAGGTGGGAATGATTTCCCAGCATATTCTGCCCTGCTTGGAAAACCAAAATATCTGCCCTGGATATCATAGGATGCAACATCACAAAGTCATGAAAGTCAGTATCATGATATTTATTTCCCTAGTATTATGGCTTCGAACTCCTTCATTCACAGATAGAAGACTTTAGTTTGATTAATTTGATTTAAATAAAACTTATCTTGTGCAAACTTGGAGAATCATTTTAGAGAGAATCTATCAGTACACAGTAAAAGTTAGAAAAATAGGCACACCCTTTGACTCAATAATTCCACTGCTGGTAATATACACTGAAAGTGTTACCAAAACAGAAAGAGAGATATGTGTTCAAAGATTTCATAGCAGCATTACATGCGTTTTCCAAAAACATGAGCCAGAATAATGGCCATGTGGTGATAGATGAGAATGAATAGTAGAAAACTCCCCAGGACTGCTTTCTTACAACTGTGTGGAGATGCAGGGAAGAACTTGTTAACTTGGGCAATAAGTATTTATTAAATAACCAGCGTTTGCTAGGCACAGAGGCTACAAAAGTAGTAAGACATGGCCCTTAGCCTCAAGGAACTTAGGTGTGGTTGGAACACCTGAACTAAACTAAAGCACATGGAACAATTATAAAATCTTCATGAGATGATATTTTTAAAAATAGGTGACCCGACTATATGGAGTTAGAAAAGAGAGCGTTCAGTCTTGGCTAAAGTAATCAGGAAAGGATTCTGGGACAAGGTGCCACTTTAACTGCGCCTTGATAGATGGGTTTAGATAGATGGAAAGGAATAAAGAAAGCGTTTGATATCTAGGGAACAGCCTAAACAGGTAGGATTGAGAAATGGCATATTTGGGGGATAATGAGGAGTGGTATGCTTCCGAGGAGTACCAGCTAGAAGGTTCTTAGATAAATAGTGGGCTTCAAAAGTAAAACTGATTAAATGTGATCAATGAGAAGAGAAACAGGAGCCAGTAATACTCGAAGAGGTAGCAAAATCCAGGAACTTAAAATTTCCTGTTTGTATTTCTAGGTAAGAGGCAATTTTTGGTCTAGTTGATTTTGGACAGGCCAGCCTCAGAGCCAGGAGTGCCTGTATTCAGGGCCTACCCCCGACACTCTAGGTCAGTTACTTAATTTCTCCACATCCCAAGCCACTTTCTGACACAGGGAGTTGGAGAGTGGTTGCTAACTTGCCGTTTGGTAGAGGGAGTTTGCCCACAGAAAAGCTGCCTGCACAGTTCAGTCACTGCTTCAGACCTCCCAAAATCATGGAGCTCATCATCTCTTTTGAGAGGTGACTTCTTTGTGGGACCTTCATCATTTCAAGTCAATAGATTTTTATTGAGCATTTCTTGAAATAACATTACCATCCCCACAGCAGTGATGAGAGAGACTGTGAGGCATCCAGTGTTGGTGTAACAGACCTTGTCTCCTTTGCCAATTTCGTCTACTTTGTTGGATTTGGAGTGTGAAATTTTTTTTAAATGGTAATGAAGTGTTTAATGTTTATTATTATCTTACTTATTAGGTAGACAAGTTGTGATGTGTTAAAGTTGTATCTTTTTATGTACAATATGTATACTTAAACCATCATCTCCTGTGTTCAATGTATCCATATCCATTTTTATAGACCTTTTGTAAGGAAGGTGTTTTGTAATTATCATGGAACTGAGAATTGGGAGACCTGGGTTCTGGCTTAGTTACTTATTTATTTAGGGAATTGGGGTTAAGTGACTTGCCCAGGGTCATACAACTAGTGTCAAGTGTTTGGTCTGAGGTCACATTTGAACTCAGGTCCTCCTGACTTTATGGCAGGTGCTCTATCCACTGCACCACCTAGCTGCCCTGTGAATTTTTTTAAAGTACTTTTCAGCAACTAGATGAGCATTGTCATTTGTGGGCTTACAGATTTATTCTGCAAGTTGAAGGGAAAAAGTTTTCTTTTTAAATGTATTTTGACAATAAATTTCAGTGATAATTATTCTGTTGGTTTTTAAATAGCCTGTTTTATAATTCTTAAAAACCAGAGATATTGTTTCTCTTTTGTTTCTCTAGGGCCTATTCCCTGGTGGATTCCAGTCAAGTGTCAACATTTCTGATTTCCATTCTCCTCATCGTCTATGGCAGCTTCAGGTAATGAGCTTTCTAAATTTTTTTCTGCTTTAAGTTTTTTGAAGAATAGATATTTTCCATGGAAGTGTGGGGACCAAGCCAGTGTTAATGTCTTCTAAGTAGAAGATGCTTCTTAAAGGCCTCATCTGACACTCAGAACAGTGTCAGGAACCTCTGAGCCCGGGCCTGGGCTGTTTAGGCCTAAGTGCTGCAGCACCGCATTGCTCCCTTCCCTTCCCCACCTTGGGCTTTCTTCTATTAGCCTTCTACTCCTGCTGTATCCAGGCCACCTATGTCCCTTTTCTGGGCTCACTAGGAGGCAGTAATTTTGCTAGTGAGGGAGGCCTTTCCTGTTGTCCATGGACTTCAGGCTGACTTCTCTGTGGTTCTAGGATGAGAGAAATAACTTTTAGAGTTTCTCACTGAATTTCCTGATCAGTGTTTGATATGTTATGAACTTCAGGGTTTTGCTAGAGTAGGTATGTGGGAGCTGGGACAGCATATCTGCTGTTAGCCATCTTGACCCAGAAGTCCTAGTACGTGGTAGAAGTACCTAGTAGAAGTCCAAATATGTCAGTGCATTGGTCAATAGGTGCGAATCTCACAGGGATCAGCAATTAAATTAGTGTGTGTACGACTTTCAAACTGTGCACTTCTTCCATATGTGCCAACCCATTTCTGCCTTTGGCCACCATCATTGTGAAAGCAGAATGAAGCTGCAAGGGACTGTTTTATATATTTTCTTTGTTTCATTGATTGCCATGGCCAAGGACTTCATTCCTCCAGTGGCTCTCCTGCTGTGGGTGAGCCTCTCTATGCAAAGCTGGTGTGCTTCTGGAACCCCTGTCTGCCCCCTAGCCATGTTTGAGGCCTGGTGTGGTCTGCTAGTGTGGTGCTTTGCAAGCTAAGCCTTCCAGAGCTCCGAGTCACTTCATGCTATGATGAGGCATCAGAGAAAAGTTTTATGGAAGAGAAATCTATGTAGAAGATTGTAGGATAAAACCATGGAATTCATTAGTTCATTCAGAAGCAGGATAGCCACATGTTCTCTAAAGTTTAATAATCTAATAAAAGGTCAGTATTGAGGGGGAGGCGAGGGGAGATTAGCCAAAAAATAAAGAACAGTTTTTTTTATCATGACCATTGAAATGGTCGTGCAGCTATTTCTGCTGATATTTGTTTTTTTGTTTTTTCATTATTAATGGAAGGGGGGGCGTTAACTTAAGTTTATAGGGTGTTCATTTTTTCCTCCAAACAAAGCAAGCGCCTGTTCATTTTTAGCCTTAGTACAGATTTTAAGGTAGAAAGCTAGTTTACCCTCAGTAGCCACTGACCCACAAGATGGGAGGGTGGTGGAACAGGAAACCAAGCATCACCTAAGAAAATTAAATTAGCAGGTGGTTAGTTCTTCTAAGAGAGGAGTACAAAAGACAGTGTTCATCTGCTTTTATGATTAAACAGAAGGTAAAGCCACGTTCAGTGAATAAAATAGAAATATTTCTATTATGGAGAAGTCTCCTGGTCCAATGGCAGGAGCTCTGAACTTGGAATCCGCAGAGATGGAGACTCATATTAGTTCATTAAGAACGTCTCTGAGCCTAGGTTTTGTCATCAGTGAACTAACAAGAAGAATTGTAGCATTGACCTCCTTGGGCTTTTAAGATAATTATGTAAAGTGCTTCATAAGACTGAACTGTTAATAAATGTCAACTGCTGTTGTTTTTCTTTAATGAATTGCTAAGAAAGATAGGAATAGTAGGAAGACAGAGTGACAAGTTAAGTAGTGAGAGATTAGCCTGGGAGAAAGAGACTTCAAGTGATCCTGTGGTGTTTGTAACTAAATCCTAGTGAAAATAATTGTCATTTAAAAAAAGCAACAGGCGAGACAGAAATCTAGACACCAATGGAGTGATACTGCTTTGGCACTTGTTTGGCTGACCAGTTAAAGTTAAAGAGAGAGCTGGATTCAACCTGGGACCTGGAGATTTCCTGCCTAGAGAGAGAGAGAGCCTGAAATCTGAGCTAATTTAATTGTTTCCCACTGACGAGTTAAGTAAGAGATTGACAGTAGGAGATAACAATAAAAGAGACAGGACATTAGCTTACAAAGGAATTGTACATCCACCATAGTGCCCGTATCCCCAGATGGAGCCCAGACCTCTGGAGTCCAGAAGACTGGCCTCTAAATCTTGAGCCTAAGCAAGCAACAGAGCCTCTGAGTGCCCCCAAAGAACTCCCCCGAGGCCATAAGTTGCTTCCTCCTGATGAAATCATAGGTCTAGTTTTTTTGTTTGTTTTTTAAAGAATTCTGTAGACCAGTCCCGTGAGTTTTGAGGAAAGCAAAACTACTCTGCATTGGTGTAGCATTTGGGAGATTGGGTTTTTAAGAAAAAGGGTAACTGGACCTGATCCATTCCGGAAAAAATACAGAGTTACAGAATTTGAGAGTGTGAAGGAATTTCAGGGGCCGTTGAGTCAACACATACACCCAAGGAGTCCCCACTGTAACATACCCAACAAGTGGTCATCCAGTGTCTGCTTGAAGATAGCCCTTCGAGAGGGGAAACCCATCACCTCTCAAGGCAGCTCTGTTTGTTAAGACACTTTTCCTAACATCAAGCAAACATTTTCCTCTTTTCCGCTCTCCCTCCATCCCCCACTCTCCTCTGCTCCTGGTTCTTCCCTGATGAGGACAGAGTGAAGTGGTGCTGTCACCTCCTCTCCTGCTCTTCTGAGGGAAGCCTAACTTCACCTTCATCTTCGACTGAGGGTCCACTGAAGGCCCCAGATCTTTTTCAGAACAACTGCTATCTCACCGTACATGCCTCTTCTTTAGACTTGGAAAGTGGATTTTTTCGGTGCCCAAGTAGAAGGCTTTTACATTGGTCCTGAGAGTTGGATGCTCTGGCCTGTAGAAGTCCATTTGGATTCCGACTTTTGTCATCTACAGATAGGATGGGCACACCTTCAAGGTCTTTGTCCGCTAACTGGCCCAGGGTCAGGCACAGATTTAAGAACCGATCCTGCTTTTCAGGAGAAGTGTAACAGGTAGTGAATGTGGGGAAGGAAGAGAGAGGGGAAACACTCTTAGCAGCGAGATCTAGATCTCACAGCGTGTGTGTCAGTGGCCTGAAGTGGTGATAGGGGTCCAGTGTCAGGCAGTGGTACATCTGTTTCTTAAAGGACATATTTTAGGTTCTCTCCTAGTGGTCCATATTAAGGGATGGCAGTGCAGGAAGACAAATAGGTTTGGCCTTCCAGGGTTTTACTACAGTTCTTATTTAGAAAAACAGATCCCCAAGAAACTAAATTCTTTTGTGTAATTAGTTTTATATATTAGGCTGGAGGTTGGCATAGTATAGCTTGCCAGTCAGTTGCTTGAAAGTTAAGAATGATTTTTACATTTTTTAATAAAGTTTTATTGTACTTTAAAGTGTAGAAACCTTCTTACCTCAAGGATCTGCAGAAACAGGCTTGCTGACCCTTATATTAGGCTATAAGACCCAGAACTTTCTTTTTCTGAGACCAAGTCTCTGTATTGTTTGGAAGTACGGCGGTCACTCATGGGCTCGCTGCTACCACTGGACAGCACAGAGGCTTTAACCTGCTCTATTTTTCTGACCTGGGCCGGTTGACCTTTCCTCACTCCCTAGGCAGCCTGGTGGCCCTCCCCTCCAGAGAGCTTTCCCACCCCCAACCCCACCCCCACGTTGGTGCCAGGCTTACTGGGACATTAGATCTGAAGTCCTGAATTCCAGGAATCTAATGCCTTCTCCTGCAAGAGCAGACCTGCAGTGGCATGTCCCACTATGCCAGAGCTGACAGAGAACTTTAAAGAAAAAGACTCTGTGGATAACAAAATTTATTTTTTTAATTCTATATAGAATATACCCACTTAAAAATTCATTTCAGACTTTTATTGGAAGATGGAGCATACTTTCTGAATTGAATAAATTTGAACACTTCCTTTAATGTAATTCTCATTTGATTCCATAAAATTACTATCCAGTTCTTTGGAATTGTTATAATTCTGCTTGTTTTGTAATTATACTAAAAGGTTTTTGCCTCTTTGCTGTAAAAACAGTGGTGAGTTTGAGAGTTTAAAGAGGAGACTTAATTGAGATAAAAATTTTTTTTACTCCGTTTTTAAGGGAATGCCTGTCTCATTGGGGAAGATTATTAAGTTCTCTTGCTATGCTAAAATTAAATACATTTATAATTATACATGAACTGATTTTGAAGAAGGAAGAAGGCTACAGCTTCCTCCTGTCACCTGGTTAGTGTAGAGCTAACTGCATTTTTTAGAGAGAAGAGTTTCAGTAAGTCAGTAAGGAGAAATTTTACATGAGTTTTCTTGCTCAGTCTCCATGTCCTGCTTTGAAATTATACCCTGAATGTCCTCTAATCATTTTCTGAGCATGCTAATAGTTAATATCCTTATTCCTTTTTTTCCAGTTAATAGTATTTTATGTTTTCCAATCACACGTAAAAATAGTTTTCAGCATTCACTTTTATAAGATTCTGAGTTACAATTTTTTTTTCTCCCTGGCAGTCTGATATAGGTTGTACATGTACAATCATATTAAACATATTTCTACATTTGGCATGTTGTGAAAGAGGAATCAAAACAAAAGGGAGAAACCACAAGAAAGGAAAAAGAGAGAGAGTGGAAATAGTCTGCTTCGATCTGCATTCAAACTCCATAGTTCTTTCTCTGGTAATATCCTTATTCCTAAAGATTCCTTGTAGGTGAAGAAGGAGACAGCATCTCTCTCCACGTTCTGAGCAACTAAAGTATATATGAAATCAGAAAAGGAGGCACAGTATTCTCAAATGAGATCACATTTATAACAGCATAGTGCCGTGCCCAGAGGAGGGATTTAGCAACTGCTTGTCCTTCCCCCCCATTTCGTGGCACAGTGTTCTTGTGGCATGATTTGGTTTGCAGCTTGATGTTTATAGAGAAGTAAGAAATACCTCTTGTAGTGAAAAAATTCCTTAGAAGAAAGATGTACTCCATA